GCTTTGACTAGGGTACCCTCCCCCCCCCCCGACAACCTCATATTTTCCATCCTTTTAATATTATGAGTTTTTGCTCTGGATCTATAAGGCATTTACCATCTCTCTCATGTAGAATGCCCTATCAGCAGCCTGAGAGCAGCTGCCCTTGGGCCTGTCAAGTAAGGTAGAGGGGGAAATGGGTGGAGCTTCCTTAGACTACTAAAACACTAGTAGGTACAAACTGAGCAGGTTGAGAATTGACTTTCAAATCCTTACAGTTTATGCCCTGATCTTGGAAAGATTTACACATGTGCTTAACTTTAACCTGTAATTGAAGCCAACTGAACCACTTGTGTGTAAAATTAACCATGTGCACAAGTCTTTGGAAGGTCAGAGCATTGATTTTTAATTCCCCTCACCAACCCAGGCAAAGTTCTAGTCCTCAAGGAGGATTAGGTCCACCCCAGATTGCAGCTTTCTAACTTCAGCTATTTTGGTGTAACGTAAATAAAAGAGTACTTGGAATTTTATTTTACTATTGTTATTTACAATTGGAAAAATGTATTTTCTCCCACTCTCCCATAACTCGAACACAGATTAAGGCATCTTGCTCAACCTAAATAAATAAATAAAAAAATCCTCAGGCAAAAAGCTACCAAGGAAAGATTCAGCCCCAAATGTTTCAGAACGTTATCCATGTGTGAAAACAAGGGACTACCAAGGCTGCAAAACAGTCTCTGTACTGCAGGGCTGACCAGCACTCACCCTAATATTCCAGGGCAAGGTTGGCACAACGTTTGCAAGCAGCAAACATGATTAGACACAAATATGTCCTGAAAATCCCACAGGCATATGTTGGAGTAGGGTCGTGTCATTTTTCACACAACTATTCCAAGTTGTGAAAAGCCTTTTATACAGTAATATTGCCAACGGAATTATTTATTTACGGCATGTAGAGCTTTTTAAAGTTGAAATTAACCCCTGAGAAGAGGAGTCACTTCAGGCCTAGATACCACTTCAGTTCTCAAAATCGGACTTAAGTAGTTCATTAGCCTTTTATGGATTTACTCTCACATTAAGCGCTGGCAGCTCTGCCTGCACCCCCAAAATCTTCCAAGAGGAGTAAAAAACATGTTATACTGTGATCAGAACTGTCAGTAGCTGGAAATCCAGCATTAAGAATTGCATGAACATGCATGTAGTACAAATCATTAGAGGCAAAAAAAAAAAAAATCAATAAGAAACTCTGCGGAGTCCATCATTCCTTCAAAAATAATATTCCCATTGATTGCTGAGGTGCTACTTTTCACACTCATGACCTAAAAACATCACTCACTTGTTGGACCACCAGGTTGCAGTAACAAGCCAACATTGTCTCCTGTATTATCTGTGATTGAGTTATGAAGCCTCCTATTCACAGGAAGAATGGCCCAGAATATTGAACTCTATGTAAAACCAGCGACTGCATGAAATCATTCTAAGAAGACCTAGTTTCTATGCTGGATAAAAACTTGTCAGGCAGGATTGATTGCAACCAGGAAAGTCTCTACCTTTGGATGCTGGAGACAGTCAGCAACAACTCCGACAAAGCAGTTCCCTTCTGTGAAAGAGTTAGTGGGGAGACAGACCAGAGTCACAATAGCACAATATTGCCCACTTGCACTGGCCTCGCCTTTTGACAGAGGTAACACTGAAAGGTCCTGTGTCTTCTCAAGGGTGAGAACAGATGATCTGGCCGATAAAGAACGGCTTCATGTGGCAAATTCCCTCATGCGTCACAGAGAAAAAGGAACATGCTTCGAAGCCAGTGGCACAATGTTACGCAGTACGTAACAATTAACTACCTGAATGACACACTGAAGCCAAAGGTGAAAATAAAACTCTGATCCTTCAGAGGAAGGCTCTACACGATGTGTTAAAGAAGCCGCTCTGCTTGATCCAACCACGTGAGTTTCCTTTTTATTGCCCACAGCTCCTTGTGTCATATCATGTATGCTACCATTTCCGTGGAACAAACAGTCGTTAATTGAACTTCTCGCGCTCACACTCCCATAAACACAAAAGCCTAGCTTGTTTTTTTTTTTTTAAACTTAAAGCTCTTCAACACATTTCAGTTCAACATCTTGCTTTTGACAATCACTTAGAGGGAAATTCACACAGTTTGGAAGCAGGTGTTTGGTACAACAAAGCCAAAGTCTATTCTGTTTCACACGTGTTCTATTGACACCCTTGTCTGGTAGCAGCATCACATAGACCAAATCTCCTGTGACAGTCCAGAGAAAGGAATTCAATGAACAACGGCGATCTTATTCAAACTCTATAAAAACAAATACAGCATTACACAACAGAAGGCAGGAAAACTCATGATCTGATTTTGCTGCAATTTGCCACACTTGTTTTGTATCCAGCTGTTAATTATGTTCTTTTCAACATAACAATCATGGCTAATAGTAACAGAGCAGACAAGAACTTTGACTGAGCACAGCTCGCCACGTAGTGAGAAGCTGAAACAATGCCATTCTATTGCCACCCCCCTGTGCTAAAGCTGCTTTTTGACTCTATTCAGAAAGTTTCTTCAAATTAAACTCCTACTGAGTTTCCAGAGGGAGATGGTATGGTTCAGTAAGCAAAGGTGATTTCTCATTCAAGGTTCCAGGTACGGAAAGATGTTTTGTCATTTCAAAATTGTGAGTGATTAATGGGGTTATAGAACACCTTGGTTTAACATGAGTGGCAAATACCCCACTGGGAGGTTTATACATCCAGGTGTGACATATGGCCAAATTTTTGCCCTGCCTTAAATGGGACATTTTTGTTATTGCATCTGAAATTTTGCAGGCCTAAATAACTGAGGCTGTAATTTTTCACCCACAATTATTTGCAGGCTCTGTTAACATCTTAGTCAAAGAACTGCTTGATTTGTGGATGCATTTGGGTACTAAAAACTGTAAACAACAAATCATGCCTGCAAACAGTTCAGGGAACAACAGTGAACCTGTAATTACTGGTGTTTGAAAAATGGTGTCTGCAAAACACAGGCCAAATGTTTGAAAAACTGGCCCAAATTACTTTGTCCTGAAACAAGGAAGAATATGCATATTCACCTGAAAATCCAAATTTTGCTTTTGGAGCTGCACACAGCAGAGGGCAGCCTATTACACTTTATACTTATTGGGCACTTTTTTCTACGCTCAGCCCTTAAGTTGCACCCTGAAAACACACACACACCTGCTGTGCCAATAAAATGTATGCATGCAAGAGGCAACTAACTGCATGCTCCTAGGGGAATTTGTATCAAAATTACTTGTTGTGCATGCAAATGTATTTTACACATGCAGAATGGTCCTACATGTATTTGAAGAAAGACCTTTTGAATATTTGGACCTAAAAGTCCAGATTCATTAAGTGAGTAAGTACCACCTGCAGCCCATATATTTCTGCCTGTAACTAAAAGGTGCAGAATAATACTGGTGACACAGTGACATGCATTAATACTGCACAGTCAAGTCAGACCCCTCATGTCCCTGCACTAGCTTGTAAACTCAGAGTACATGGACCATATGAAGCCTTCCAGCTGCAGCGTTTCAGAAAAAAACACAAACCATACACTGCTGTATTAATCCAGCACGCCAGGTGAAGCCTACATTTACATTCATATTATCTATTTATGGCGTATTAGTTTGTACTTGAGCAAATAAAGCTTTTCCTTCCCTGGGGACCCATTCACAAGCAATCAACTATCATGCAAGGGGTAACTAACTAGACACAGACAAACATGTACATACATTTTACTCTTTTCTTTATAAAGGCAAATCTAATGCTGAATTACATGAATAATGCTGGAAGGAGAAGATATCAGCTGGTGAGAAAGCCAAGGTGAGGAAACATCACATTAAAGAATTTTGCTGCTCATAAGTGATGCTGCAGATACCTTGCAACAGGAATGGTGATAAATGCTGGCAGTAAAACTGGAACGTTATAAATGCTCATTAGCCTTGCTAGTCTATTAAATCAAGCCCAACACTTTGTGTGACTGTGGGTGTGTTTTCCGTGTCATGGGGCAGACACTGTATGGATACTTAAAGTGACGCCTAAAGCCTAAGTAGGTAGTTTACCTTTGCAATACGGTTTGGGATACAGTATTGTCTTGCTCTTTCATAGGAAAAACTTGCATGAATTTATTAATGGAAAAGAGGACTGAACAGAGAGCACTGGTAAAAGTACTAAGAATACATTGGACAATGGCTGAATGCAGTAAAAATGCTAATAAGCTGGAAGATAAACTAGATGGCCTTTTCCATCTCGTGTTCCTATGATATGAATAATATTTCAGCATGGCAAGGGTAGTACTTGGCAGCTGGAAATAGCAAGGAATGTTTTGTACCTGTGTTGTCTCCATTCTCAACCTCTTTCCCCAACACAGGATAAATAGTTCTAGCCATATAGGATGGGCTTTTCAAAAGGCTGCAGGGGAGTAAGACACACATTTCCCATTGAAAGAGAGAGGCACCTCTTAAATTTCGCTTCAGCTGAAAATCCCAGCTGTAACTGCTGAACTAGGATATAGCCAGATTCAAGACTAGAGGCTAATCCTCCTTCATCGCTTTTTGCATTTCTCTTGTTTCATAATTTCTCCCCCAGTAATGACAAATTTGGAAGTGAAGATTATCTGGAAGTAGTAGGTCTGTCCTATAAGCCCCTTCCCTGGAGTTAGTGCAACTAAAAGGAAAAGAATGAATCAGGGAAAGGAGCAAATTGCAGTAAAATATAACCAGCCCCCTTTGTTCGGGGTATTTCAGTAAAACACATCTCTGGTAACGCCAGACGCACCATGTACAACATAATGTTCTCCTGCAGTTTTCAAAGGAACAATGCACCAGAGGCCAAAGCAGAGGACTAGTAGTGAACTGTTTAATTTTCCTCAGGCTTTCTAAGAAAAAAAAAGTGTGCATTTTTAGGAGGTGGAGGGATGGAGGTGGCCATATGTGCACAAATCCAGTCTCAGTTCTTACTGCACTTACTCCGTTCGCTTTGCTGAGAGCCTGGAAGTAGATGCTGTAGCTTTTCAGTGGTGAGAGTGGAGCATTCCAATAGCCATTGTAGGTCTTGTTGTCGCCCACCGTAAAGGGCTGCGTGACGGGCAGATTGACGGGCTTCAGCTCGGCCGCAAAGTAATGGGGTGAGTCAAGGCTGGAAGCATTTTTGTAGCTCACTGGAACAGAGAAGCACTCAATGATGTCTGCAGCCCTCCGTGCTTTCTGCAGCCTCTCTTCCTTGACAACAAGCTGATAGACACTAGGAGGGAGACGAAGGTGGAGAGGGAGAAAGAGAGAGATAAGACAAGGTTAGAATAACAAGAAGCTCACCAACAAGAAAAGAAAAAAGGCAAAGCTAAAGAAATAGTGAGACAGGAAAATTTAGCACTGAAAACAAATACCATTCACTGGGGCCCCCTTCACAGTTATGCAGTATATAGGCCCTTCTCCTCACTAATGGCTGCATTCCACTGGTTCTCTGTGGACCAGATTCTGATCATTTAGTCTGCAGTAATTCCACTGAATTTAGTGGATTTACTCCAGATATGGCCTGGTGAAAATGAGAACAGATTTCAGTTTTACGTATGCTGTTCGTAAAGCACTCTGGGATTCTTTTAGGACAAAAAGTGCCACAAATGTGTAACATTATCTCACGAAATGTTACATGTATATGGCGAAATTACTATGAACAAGGAATTGCAGTAATTACAGAAACAGGCTCCAGTAATGAAGGTAGAGAGATGCATTAAGGGAATTCACAAGATAGAATTGTACTGTAAGGAGGTACCCATGGCTTTCATCCCACCATGCACCAAATGAAATGGTGGTTGAAAGTGGTGATGATGAATGTCTTTTGAAACAATTTATGCTAAGGCTGTATGAACTAGTTTGAATAAAATAACAGATTCATAGTTTGGCATAATATGTACTTGTGCGTATTATATACTTGCTGCTACCTCTGCTCTTTCGGGTTCTCTCCTGGAGCAGAACTACTGAAACAATAGGAGAAAGGCTCTCACATTAATTCCTCCATGGAGAGTCTCGTCCTAACCACCCCATAGCTAAAATTGGCATCCGCTTTGAAGCACGTGGGTTTCTGTCCCTTCCAACACTTTGTTTGAAAATTAAAGCAATTCTGGATATTCTTTCTATCTATATAAAAGTTTAATCCCAATTTGTATCCCATTAAGCTCTTGATCTCAGTGATACCTTGTAGCAATTCCTGATGCTTCTAGCACAATTTTGTAAACCCAAGTAGGGTTGCACAGCATCCAGATACTCTTGGCTTTGTTTTCTGTCACAAACAGTTAACAAAGTCTTAAGTTCAGCACTGCTACAATTGTGACAGGCATCCTGACTGCTTAACACTACTCACCCATTTGACAAAGAAAGAGATACCAGTGCAGTCATTTCACTTTTTTTCAGGGTATTCACATATGCTGTCCTCACCTGTCTACATGAGGCTAGTTCTTTGTCTAGTTAGGAGAGATCGATGCAAAGATTGGAAACAGCCAGGAGTGCATCGTTCTAGTGGCTTTCAGAGGCTTATTGTCGCAGAAAGATTGGTCTGAAAAACTTTTAACACACCAACATCTCATCAGCACTTCCACAGGACACATGGGCGGGCAACTAAAGCAGGCCAGAGAGACCAAACAGCTAACCTGCACATTTGGATTAATCACCAGCTAATTTCTGGGGCTATCTAGCACACTCCCACGGGAAAGAAAGCAGTCAGACAAATGCTGACAAGCTATGGAAAAGGCTCAGAATGATGGACTTGGTAGGAGATGATCACAGACAATATGAATGATACATGTATATAGCACTGCAGTTATCAGTGTGAATGCTGTGGTACACCAACCCAGTGTTCAGTAGCACTCCAGGTGCACAACAACTCAGAGGCAACGTGTGTGTGTGTGGGGGGGGGGAAGAGGTCACAAAGGGTCAGCTTTGCTGCTTGACTTGTACTGAGCATGTTCAAACAACTGAGCATGCTCAGTAACATCTGCTGAAGCCGCTGCCCTCACTCTGCCTCCCTCCCCCAGTATTGGCAGGTGCTGTCATCTCTGCTCAGAGCCACATGCCAGACATACTCCAAGAACCCATCAACACACTCCCATTCTGAATGAGCAATACAGGATAATTCCCCTACAAAGAGCAGAAATAAAGGGTGACACATAAAGGATGCACAATAGTTTGAACATTTACAATAAGAGATCGACTCAATAGTTCCTAACCAGACCATGGTGGCAGAGTCCAGTAGTGGGATATAAAGGTACCTGTGTGCTACGGGGCTCCACGGGTTAGTGTCTTAAACTCCCTTCAGTCCACCCCATCCTGGAGGCAAAGCATGTCCCAGCCTGCAGACCAAACTTCTGTCCCAGCCACCCCCTATTTATTTTATCCAAGACCATGGTGGAGCTCCTCTGCGTTGTCCTTATGCCCCGTGCCATTGTCCTGTGCCTCATGCCTGCTGATCCCCTGTCAGAAGCAGGCTCCTGCCTTGCCTCGCTATCAGACTGTGTGTTGCCTGGTCTTCCTTCCACAGCTAGCTCCCAGCCTGCTGCTCCTGCTCATACATAGCCTCTGGCTTTCCACAGAGCTCGATTCCCTCTAGCCTCTGAGAATGCATCTACACAGCCCACGGCAGCAAGCCTCTTAGCCCATCTCGAGACACCCAGGCCGGCAGGGCTTGTGCTACCTATCTAAAAATAGTTGTGTAGAAAATGTTTTGAAGTCGCGGCTCAGGCTCTGAAGCCAACCCCCCACCCTAGACTTCAGGGCCTGAGCTGCCACTTCAAAGAGCTGTCTACACAGCTATTTCTAGAGCACTAGCTAGCTCTATCTACTGGCTCAGTCCTCTCCCTACCTTTTGGAGTGAGTGGAAGGTAAGGAGCCAGTAGGTTCACCGCAGCACCTTTAATCCCCAATGATTCAAAGGCACTTTGCAAATCACTTCAACTACCACTCAAATGCAATCACTGCTGGTACAGAATGAGAGGGCGTAAATAGGTATCCTGTATCCAAATGAAACTGCTGTAAGAATTTTAGGTTGACTATGTAACCACCCACACTGGAATCTGGTCAGCACATCCAGATTTATACCACAATTCAAGCACACAATTATGCCACTTCGCTTCACTCAGGAGATGTAGATGACACCTCCAAGCTGCACAGTGCCCTGCCAGCTCTGTGGCGAGGCACTGGTCCACAGCAAGTAGTGTGGCCTAGCCGAGAAAGCAAAGGACTGGCACTTGGGAGACTTATTTCTTGGATTCTATTCCTGGCTCTGCCACTGGCCTCCTGGGTGACCTTGGGAAAGTAACATTGCTTCTCTCTTGCCTCAGTTTACCCACCTGTAAAATGCAGGTGATAAACCTGACTTGCTTTGTGAAGGGCTTGGAGGTCTACTGACAGAAAGTGTTGTACAAGAACTAAGGGCTTGGCTACACTTACTTTTTATAGCGCTCTAACTTGCTGGCTCAGGGGTGTGAAAAATCACCCCCCCCCGAGTGCAGCAAGCCTGAGCGCTTTAAAGAGCTCGTGTAAACAGGCTCCACGCGCAGGGAGCCAGGCTCCCAGTGCTCGGAGCTAATCCCCTCATGGAGGTGGATGACCAGGAGCACTGGGAGAGCTCTCTCCCAGCGCTCGTGCGCGACCACACTCGCACTTCAAAGCGCTGCCATGGGAGCACTCCTGTGACAGCGCTTTGAAGTTTCTCGTGTAGCCATGCCCTTTACTTAGGGCACTATTGCAGAACTGACTCATGGAAAGAGCTGCCCCTGCTGACTCACAAAAAACATTGCAGCATCAGATTATTCCTTGGAGGTCCCCCCGTCCAAGGACTGAGCAGGGCCAACCGTTTGCAGCTTGTCAGATCTCACAAGTTCACATACTGTATGAAGACTACAGGCTAAGGAAGGAAGGAGTGTTTCTCTTAGAAAGCAGACTACAGGGAAGGAAGGTGAGGAGTCCATAAGGAAATCTCTCCCAGGTAATTTACTGGCTCTTAGTCAGGTTACCAGGTGGACAGTAACACACACCATAGTTTTTGCTCTCTGTCAGTATCAACCAACACTGTCCATATAGCAACCAATTCTCACCCACCAGGCAGCTTCATGAGCCCAACAAGCAATGAGAAAACATGGTCTTCCAAATACCGAAAAAGCTCTGCTCTCCAAAACGAGCTCTCTGAGGCTTGTCAGATATGGCACATTAGTCAAGGGTCTGACTTTTTCAGCGGAGAAACTGCTCTGCTGTGTCACTGCAAGGTCTTTCATTTAAAAAAAAGGGGGGGGGGCAAAATTGGATTCCTTGATAAATTTTACAGGTTTTATACAGATAAAATCACATTACTTTACTTTAATAGAAGCGATTTAAAGTTTTTGACAGCTCTGTTCTAAATCACCGATAAAAGCACCAGCCATTATGGTCGCCACAATATAAACACTGTGTGCAGAGGGAGAAAATGTGCTCTTATCATCATCTACAAGGTAATCTTTTAAACAATGTGTTCTCCAGTCGATGTGCAAGCATGAGAATGGATGATCATCATTCCAAATCACAGCCTTGTTTCCCCACTACAGTGAGATCTCTGGACTCTGGCAAGCTTCTTTCCCTGCTCTAGCTTTCCTTTCACACTGTATGCAGAACAACTGGGGAGATGAGCTGGGGAAGCAGCTGTCCAGAAAGATAGCCATTTGCATGGGCTTGAGTCTGGCTTTGATAGATTTTGATGGGCATCGGGTGAAGGGAAATAGCTGTCACAGAACACCTGCCATACTGCATCAGACCATTCGGCCATCCACTCCGATATCCTGGCTCTTATTGCTTCCCTGAAAGGTAAAAATCCTCAGAATGCACCTGGTAACCATCAAGTGGCCAACGCCAGGGGGCAGCAAGTTTCAGGTCTGGGCCCCTTAACAATCACAGTCTTCCCCAGCTGGACTCTCCACCAAGGTAAAGCCGCATATTGCTGTCACGTCTTTTGGAGCTAATAGGGGAGCCCAGGCCACTCTCTCCAGCAGGCTCCTATCCCTGGCCTGATGCTGGGCAGCTAAATTCTGCACCTTAGGGCGCTAAGCAGCTGCTTCTCTGGATCACTTCCTACCTAAGTCGCCTTTTCTCCCACGGGATAAATTAAAGAATCACAAATAAAGTTTCTGACCTTCACAATCAGTCACCAGTCTCTCCTTCGCAGGCTTCATCAGGTCTCAGGCAGCGAGAACTCCTAGGCAGCACTTCCCCAGAGCTCAGAGC